TCTCTCTCACAGATAGCCAACATATAGCGGCTGATTAGCATGCCTGAAAGTGCACTCCAGTGCTGTAATTACACGTGACACCAATTACTCTGTTACTTTGTATTAAATTATAATGGAAAATTCCACTGGAGAATTGGAGCCTAATTGCATCTTAATTTGCATAATTTTGCATATTAATCACATCTCAGTTGAATAATAAATTTTAGCAGATTTTTTAATTTATGCGTTGATAGGAAAACAAGTTGAGGAAAAAATAATTGGCGAGAGCAGAAAAAAGAAATGATGACTTTAAAACGTTTGTGCTGATTCTGCTCATTACTGTTGGACACTGAGTCAAAGAGAGAGACAGAGACAAGATTCAGAAATATTATTATCCATATTATACTATCACAGTTTGGATTCATGTTTTTCAAAAGTTTCATTCTGGAACAGAGGTGTGCGCCGAGCTCCTGTACTACAATACAGTTTTTCTCAGCCGCTTTGGTGCTTTCCTCAGATCAGACGGAAAGTTTAAACCTCCAAAACGTTGAGTCATTTGTGCACATCATCGTGTTTCTCCTTTGAACAAATGCTTTTGGACATGTGTCAGTTACTTTCTCTGCTGTTTTATAACGTTATCATTTGCTTTTGTCATGTCAGTGAAAATGGAACATACTTCTGAAGCTGAACAGTCATTCCCGATAAAACTAATAGTCCTCATTTCATTGCTTGAGGATTACATACAACATTTACAACATGATGGAAATGAAAATATGTGGCCAGACTGACAGGAAGGCGTGGACGTCCAGGAATAGCGTATGTTCAGTTTACAGTTATATGTACTGTTATATTGTTTACATTTGTTCTACCATAATGCCATTTCTTATGTTGGTTCTACAAAAATACAGTAAGGGACTATGTTTTCTTTTTGCACACAATGCTGCAGAATCTCAAAGAGCATATGCAGTAAATACATACATACACTTACACATACTGTGTCTTGTACTCAGTTACCTCACTAAATACAGTCATGTGTAACTTTACTGTAGTTTTTGGCTGTACCGTGTCAGCAGTGCTGTCTTGACCATTTTCAGGTAGATTCACTCAAATCTTTTTGCATTGAAAACACAGAGAGAGTAAACTGTCACAATGAGAACATGACTAAGCCATTTGACTGTCGTGTTCATACACACTGGTGTCAGGACTTATTATTTTGAGACACAGACAGTTTCATCGACATGAAGACTTGCTTTTGAGGAATTAATAATTCATTTTGAGTAAGTGACGCACTTTTGCAGGTTTTCCACGAGGTTTTGCAGTTTGTACTCATTGTTCTGAGAAATGCATTAACTGTTGTGCAAATGAGAAGAGTGATGTGAGAAATGCACCAAAAAGTGAATGAGATTTTTTTTTTTTTAAAGTACAAAGTAATAAAAGTAATGTAAGGTGTTCCCAAGCCAGCTGAGAGACAGTCCTGTCATCGTGTCCTGGGTCTTCCCCTGGTCGTCTCACGGTGGGACACGCCCATAGACTGTATATATTAACGGACAGAGTCACGCCTATCTCCGCCGTTCATAGGAGTTAACCATGAAAAGTGCTTTCATGGAGCAATCCAAGATGGCCGTGAGTGGTCCCGCCCACAAGAAAATTGTGAAAAAACGCATCTGCGCATGCGTCAGCCGGAGCAGCTCCATTCATTTGAACGAGAGACTTAAAAAATTCACAGCAAGTAAACTAGAGTGGACCACAAAAAATCACCCCCCTCAGCATTGACACACATGTGGAACGGAGCTTTGGACCAAGAGCCAACTTTTGGTCCATCCTGTAAAGACGTTTTCGAGAGGTCTGCTAATGCTATATGTTAGCATTGGCTAATTCTTCTTCTGGGTCCACCCCCATCGGCCCGGGGTGGTACTGCAGCATGTCAGCTCACGTCATTTTGGCCACTTTTGAGCTGGGACCCTCCCCCACTGGACACGCCTAGAACACCTCCCCAGGGAGGCATCCCAAACAGGAGCAGCGGCTCTACTCCAAACCGTTCTGGCCAACTCTGGTTCTCCTGGTCTTGTGCAGTAGGTGCAGTGGTCCTTCTACAGGGCCAGAATAAGGCGAGAGTGTTCTGACCAATCAGGGCAGAGCTGATCAAAGCAGAGTAAGAGCGAGCCAAGTTTGTGGCACTAAATTATGAATTTACAGGAGGCCAATGGACCAATGAGTTCAGGACGACAAGGGACACTACAATCCCCACAAAATCCTCCTATGTGAAAGTTGTATGTTCCCAGTCAGCTGAGGACGAGCCGTGAACACTGAGGTCTCTCGAGTCCTCTAGTCCATTTGGAGATGAGTTTATGCAAGCAGCACCCTCCACACAATATCAAACATCCAGGGTTAGGACAAAGCTGTGATTGTCCCTGACAGTAATCTAATGTTCAAAAGTCTGTTGGTTTGATTTGTATGAGGACAGAATCACAGAGCAGCCGGCGCACCTCAGGCAGGTGGTCTGGTCTCATGGTGCTTTCAGACCGGCAACGCTCAAACGCTGAAGCCCCGCTCACCAGACGCATACTCTAGTTTCAGCAGAGACTTCACCAGACGCTGACGAGCCGAAGTACCGAAGTAGCCGGCTCTATGCTAACAAGCTATGCTACGCTCTTGTGTACAGATCTCCAATGCAGTTTCAGGTGTCTTGCTCACGACATTCACGAGGACGCATAGTTTTTCATATTAAACGTATTCCCATCGCGAACACAACGCGTATTTCACAAGCACAGAGTCCCCCATTGTCAGCCCTGGTTTGAGTTCTGGTGAAGCCTGGTGTGGGTCCTGTTTTGGCTGTTTACAGTATTTTCAGTCTGCTCGCTCAGTCCGCTAATGTCCCCGTGACCACTTTGCTGCTCTCTGATTGGTCGCTGCATGAACGTCCCAAGGAAAGGATGAACAGAATCCATCTCCTGTGGACGTTCATTTTTCGCTCCTGCTCCTCCCTTTTCACTTTCCCGCCAAGTCCGTGCGTCATTATTGAACAGTCCGTTCTTGCCGAGAGGTCCGTGCGTTGTGACGGTCGAACGCGTGTCACCGTAGACTTTGCATTGAAACCCGACGCAGCATGATTCGGTCTGAAAGCACCATCAGACACAGCCATCGTGAGACGTGTCCACGGGAACTTTTGACATAAAAAAAACCCTGAGGTTGAATGAATGAAAAATACGCTTATACCAGACTGTGAAATATTCCCCATGAAATATGTATATTGCAGCACATAGAAGTAAGCAGAGAAATAGACAAACAGATAGACACAGGTGAATATGGTAACATTGTGACAACTCAGATCACACCATGTTGTCTTCATCTCATTTAAAAATACATAAAAAAACAACTTTTGAATCTTTGTCAGAAAGAGCCCTGTGAGTTAGTGAGTAAACGGCTACGGAACGAAGTGGGAAAAAGTCTTATGCCTAGCGTACATCGACAGAGAAACTGGGGACAACTAGTTGCAAGGCGGCTTTTGGCAACTGAGAGGAGATGGTGGGAGATGATCAGTTGCCGAAATCGGTCGATGTGCGCGCTCTTACAACTGGAGATGATCAGTCGGTCTCCAGTTCCAGTCAGTTGCCCGTGTTCTACTTTTCGGCAACTAGTTGTCCTCAGTTGCTCCGATGTGCGCGCTCCATGCGCCGCTCCGACAACGTGTGTGTATTGCGTGTATTGCGAGCCCGCAACAGTTTGTTGTCAGAAAACACACTGTGGTTGAGGCCAGTTGCTGTCGATGTACGCGCTGTTATTCAAGAGACTGGCCTGCGACTCAGAGTTGCCCGTTTTCGCCAGATTGTCGATGTGTGCGGGGCAGCAACTCAGAGGCGACGGATATAATCAGTTGCCAGTCCGATGTACGCTAGGCTTTACTATTTGGAATTCTCAAAAGTGGCATCAAGGGGCTCAAAAAACAAAATATGGAATATGGTGCCGGCCATGGTCTCTCATCCATGGGCTGCTCCACCAGTGGCACACTGTGGTCCTGTGCCTGTTGTGGAGAACCGAGCCAGGACCATGTGGCACACTTGTACCGGGAGGTACCAGAGCGTACCCCCTACATGTCCCAGAGCCTGATCAGACCCGCGCAGCGCTCCACGGTGGCGTCTTTGCTTGGACCCGCATGAACCAAAGCCATTACGCACTGATTGTAGGTGCATATAACAATCCACACATTTGTGGGAGAGTTTGACATCTTGCACGTTATTTAATAACACAAAAACAGCCCTAACATAAAATCGTCAAATTGCATATTTGTAATGTGAGAGGTTTGCCTATAATCTTGTCGGAGTGGGAATATGTTTATTGTTGTCCAAATCTTGTATTTCATGCGTGTTTTGGCGTGTTGTAATGAAGGTTGAAATGAGCGTACACATTTACACCACCTCCTGACTTGGTGTATATTTTTTGCGTATAGTACGCTCACGTCCAGATTGATAAATGCGGAAAAGTGTAAATATTTTGCGTACGCATCATTTACACCCTGATTTGGCCGTACGCAAGTTTCATACATGAGGCCCACTGTGAGAAACCTTAGGCAGGCCCATATTGAGAGAGTGGTCCACTCCCACGGACGGACAGGCTCTAGATCCAGGACAGAAGAGGCTTCCAGGCGGGGTGCAGCCCCTAAGTCCAGACCGGGGAGACCAGTTCACAGGTGCAGATAAAAGGGGCTGAATTCAGGTGTCTCATCGTCACACCATGAAGTAGACAATGGGATAGTGGGTGATTAGCAATGAACAGACTACAGCAGAAATCACAATATAGAGTAGGAAGAGAAGACTGCAGTGCTACAATACTTTTCCAGCAGTGGTCTCCATATGCTTTTTTTATTGTGTTTTATTGTATTTCTAAGAATTTCCTGAGTCTAACCATATGCTACGCCTCTTTGACACCTATGGTGATGTCACACACTGTCGACAAGTGAAATAAGGCTGTCATTGTTTGACTCTGAGTATAAAGACTGATGTTGGGGACCTTTGCATGTGCAGATGATGGAGTATGTGGAGACCAGGACCAAGGCCCTGTCCCGCCATCAGATCCAGAAACTTGCGGTTGACACTGATGACATCATCTTCTTGCTCCCAGAGGACGTGACTGTAGTCTTTGACCAATACGGTGAGGAAAAGATCCGGTTTTTCAGGGAAGATTAGTATTAGGCGGGAGGTACTCTACAACATCATGAAACCACTAGTGTAATAGGACGGTTACCTTTATTTAAAGTCTCTCTGATCTTTCTCTGGTCTCTCTCTGTGTGGTCTCCCTCTGGTTTCTCTTGTCTAGTTTATTGCTGGTCTTATCTGTCTGGGCGATATAAAGGTTCAAAAGGTGATTGTGAACATTGTCTCTGTGTCAGGACGGAAGTTCTGCTCCATCGTCATGCGCTTCTGGTTCCTGACTTCGCTGGAGGGGCCCCAGGACCCTGAGGCAACCAAGATCTTCAGAGTGGCTCCCAGTCAAGATGGCTGCCAGCAGACCACTGTGGCCACTGCTGTCTACGAGTGAGTGAGAGCTCTGTGTGAGAGCCGGTCTTCTAATCCTTGCTAAATCATTCTCCTGGTAAATAGTACATAGTTCTGCATGTTTAAGGTTTCTAAAACTCTGTGAAGACCTCATTTATTTGCACACACAAGTTCCCCTCCCTCTGGTGGTGGCTTCAGGGAGTTACAGCTTCAGCCCCTGGAGCAAAAGAAAAAGTGGATTTGTGTGATTTGGATTTCCCATGTTTCTGTTCAGATTTCGCCGTGAGCTGACAAAGGGGGCGTCTCCAGACTGGACCGTCATCACTGTGTGGCACTGGCACTGGACCCTGGCCCCCGACAGCTGACCGGGGGGAGACACCGGGGGAGACACCAAAGCCCTGTTTCCAACAGCCCTTCTTCCTTCTTGTCATTCTGGGCCAAAAGACATTGGCAGATAAAAGCCTTACCGCTCGCACGACTTAATTCCTGTGCAGAGACCTGTACAAATAAATTAAAGTTATTGTTTGTAAACAATAAACAAATAATTCTGTGTGTATTATTTGTCTTTATTTAAATCTGTCTGTGTTTTGGATAAAACTGTTTGACAAGGATGGTTTTGAAAGCTGCACTTGCTACATGTAACTATTGGCCGCTGGTGCAGTCCTCCCAATAGCTTACGTGTGTTCTTTTGGTCTTGACAATGTTTAAAAATAGAAAAAACATTAACTGTAGCGAGACATGACAAGATCAATGGTGTCCAAACTTTTTAGTAAGGGCTACTGTAGTTCGTCAGTTGTCCAGGGTCTGGATTGTAAAACAGGTTGCTCATGTACAGTGGAATAAAAAAGCTTGGGCACCCCTCTCAATTTTTATGATTTTCCTTTACATATTCCTGGTTGTGTGGGTAAGAAATGTCAGTTAAATATTTGTTAAGTAAAATAATGTTTATCATTTAACTTTTGTTTTGCTTTTGAATTCGCTGGAAACTTAAGTAAGTCCTGAAACAGTTTTTGTGTTGTGTTACAATTGTTCTTCCTTTTTTCAACCCGAGATGTAGCTGCTGTACAGTGTTCATGGTTTTACACTGGTCCAGACTGGAGCAGAGAGGAGAGGATTAGTGGTCTGAAACAAGCAGATCATGCAAAAAAATCTACTGGAGGAAGAATAGCATTTTGAAAAATACTAATGAAGCATTCAGAATTTTACTTAAGACCAGAGCAGAGAAAATTGTCCAAACCAAGCGGCTCCATCTCAACCAAAACTGCTGTTTCATTTTAATACTATTGTTAGCTATTTATAGAATTATGTATTTGTTTGTTTGTTTGTATGGATGGATGTGTTTCTGTTGCTACTGGACACCAGAATTTCTCTTATCTATTTATCTATATTTCCAGACTGCAAGAATTATTTAATCCAAATTATGCACCTGCGTACTACAGAATATTGAGTTGATTTTTCTTTTGTGGTGCCTACATTTATGAACATGCCTAATTTGGTTTCAATAATTCTCTCAAACATTCTCAAACATCACTGTGTTTGTCTTCTATATGATATATTTCATTGACATTTCTTTTTCAACAACCAATGATTTATAAAGAAATATAAGAATTTAAAGGGTGCCCAAACCATTTCACACTACTGTATGACCATTTTCTGAGCTGAAGTTGGCTGAATGTCACCTGTTAATGTTAATTTCACCAGCTACACTAGTGTTATGTGTGTCATGTTGTGACTCATAAACAACTAATAATTATTTAAATGCATTCAAAGGCTGAAAAGATAAGTGGTACAGTGCCCAGATGCATTCATATAAAGCTTGGGTAGAAAAAAATGTATGTTTCATAGAATCCTGAAAATCCACTCCGTTCAATCATCATTTCACTGCATGTAACGTCTGGGTCTAGTCCCTGTGTTAGCGATTACAATCGGTTGTATTTTGACTGACCATTCAGCGAGCGCGGAAGGCAGGTGTTGTTGTTAGCTGTGGGTGATGTCAAGAGTTTGCGTCGAACAGGCAGGTTGTAGTTTGGCAATGGCGAAAAATGCGATAGTAAAGTAATCCGGTCTGGTTCTATCAAGAAATTGAAGCCAGAGCAAGGGTAATATTTAGCTAATGTAATCCCTGGCAAAGATTGTGGCGCTACTCCCCACCATAGACTGTATATATTAACGGACAGTCACGCCTATCTCCGCCGTTCTAACTAATGGGCCAAAAATTGAGCTCTGCTGGAGCTTTTCAAAATGGCCGCAAGCGGTCCCGCCCACAAGAAAATTGTGAAAAAACCAGTGGGGGCGGGTCCCAGCTCAAAAGTGGCCAAAATAATGACGTGCGCTGACATGCTTCAATACCACCCCGGGCCTGTGGGGGTGGACCCAGAAGAAGAATTAGCCAATGCTAACATATAGCATTGGCAGACCTCTCGAAAACGTCTTTACAGGATGGACCAAAAGTTGTCTCTTGGCCCAAAGCTCCGTTCCACATGTGTGTCAAAGCTGAGGGGGGTGTTCTGGTCCACTCTAGTTTACTTGCTGTGAATTTTTGAAGTCTCTCGTTCAAATGAATGGAGCTGCGCCGACTGACGCATGCGCAGATGCGTTATATCACCATTTTCTTGTGGGCGGGACCACTCACGCCATTTTCGGTAGCTCCAGTAGAGCACATTTTTTGGCCCATTAGTTAGAACGGCGGAGATAGGCGTGACTCTGTCCGTTAATATATACAGTCTATGGAAAAAACGCATCTGCGCATGCGTCAGCCGGCGCAGCCGCTGAACGAGAGACTTCAAAAATTCACAGCGAGTAAACTAGAGTGGACCAAAAAAATTCACCCCCCTCAGCATTGACACACATGTGGAACGGAGCTTTGGACCAAGAGCCAACTTTTGGACCATCCTGTAAAGACGTTTTTGAGAGGTCTGCCAATGCTATATGTTAGCATTGGCTAATTCTTCTTCTGGGTCCACCCCCATCGGCCCGGGGTGGTATTGCAGCATGTCAGTGCACGTCATTTTGGCCACTTTTGAGCTGGGACCCGCCCCCACTGGTAAACTCAGATCCAATCGTTTCAATCTGCAAAAGGAGTTAACCCCTCCCACCTGTAAACGGAGCTCAATGGAGCACCTCTAGACCTTAGTACTAAATGTAATTTGTACTATGGTGTGGTACGACCAGGCTAGGTCTATCACTAGTTTTCACATCAGAATATTTCAAACAGGGACCGGAGAGAGAGATTAAAGAGAGAACAGTGCAAGAGACGAGAAAGAGAGTAAGGCCAGACAGACCAGAGAGACTCTAGAGCGAGCGAGATTCAGCGAGACCAGAGTGAGAGACCAGAGAGAGAGTGAGCCCAGAAAGAGAGGGCATGAGAGAGAGACCAGCAAGGGCCTCATTTGCTCCTTTGAACGCGTTGCACTGAAAAGTGAACTCTTGCTTGGTTAACCCACTTTATAGCTACTTAATATTCTTAAATAACATGTACCCAGATAATCCCCGCGCCCTGGTGGGTGTACATGTTCTCGCGCACGACAGCGACAGTATGCATACCCGTACAGATATATATTTATATATTTTGAAAAATCCAAAATAAAGAGGTTGAAACGCGGTGACTAATTCTCTCTCAGATATTCCCCACCTGATCAGCGTCCCCAAACACAACCTGCGCTCTCATGCCGTGCCAGGAGCCATCGCGCTCTGACACCGCGCGCTATTAATGTTGACAAGACTTCTGTCAAAATCTGGAATTAGCTTCCGACAATTCATGTTTCCACGGATGGGGATTATTGCAATGTTTTCGAATGCTAATGCACCGGCGGAAGTTCGCACGTGGGCGGCTGTCGCAAAGCTGATTACGCGGATGCGGTGAAGGCGCGTGCGTTTAGGGGAGATCGGTCACGGTTGTGCATCGCGCCGTCATTAAGCGATAGATGAAAGAAAGTGCAGATATTTTCTTATTATTAGTTGACTTTTAATGACGCAAGATTTATGAATAAGCGTCATTAATCCGGTTGGAGAAACAAAGCGAAATATTGAATTATGAGTGGTTCGGCAAGAGGCGTGACGTGCAAATAATCATGATTTCCTTGACAAAAGATAAGTGGTACAGGACCAAGATGCATTCATCTAAAACTGGGGTTTTCTTCCAACTTCCAAATGGCAAAATGATGGAACTGTGTCATAAAAAATCCAAGAAAAATTGTTCTATCACTAGTTTTCACATGCATATATTGTTGACCTGTTACATCTTTAGATCAGTGTTTTCAAACAAGAAGGACTGGAGAGAGCCTAGAGAGAGAGACCAGAGATATAGAATATTATAGATATTATAATAGATATAATAATAGATCCATGGTCTGAAGGCATTAGACTGCAGATGATATTCACAGCAATAATATATTCACAAACGGGTAGGCGTTTGTGGACGAAGCAGCCGTGCAGGAGCACAAGGTGTATACGTGAGCGCCATTCAGACTGACATGTACACAGCGTCAGGTTTATGTACGGTCAATGGGAAAGGATGTTGGGGTTGTCGTGGCAAGGTGCTCTTTCGCCGCCAGGCCCTTCTCGAGCACAGTGCTAGCTTGCTGCATCGGTCGACATGGCTTTTCACGCGTTGATCTCTGACCGTCTGCACCCGAGGAAAGAGAGAGCGTGCAGAGGTTGTCTGAACTATGGATCAATAATAACTGTCTAAACCTGAACTGGTCAGGATTAGGACCAACTAGACTGGGACTTATGCTTAGAAGGATCGAACTCTTACACGCGAGCTTTATAAACTTACCCAAAGCTGTACTTTGGACATATTTGTCTGGTGTGGAGCTTCTGAATGTAGAGAAGGCCAAATACCTGCGGCACGTAATCAGGAGTGACCTCGGTGATGACGATGACATTCAGAGGCAGTACTGTAAGCTGTATGGACAGGCTAACACTGAAGCACGGAGATTTCACACGTGAACAGATAAAGAGAAAATAACTTTGCTACTGCACACCTCTGTATCCTGCCAGCTCACTGTTTGTTCTTAATAATGTCCCCACTCTGAATGCTCTGATCAGAAATGTTATTTATCCTCGTAAGTAGCATAAGCTACATGTAGCTCTATAGTCAGTCGGTTGTGTTTACATCTAAAATCACAAGTTTTGCTTTGCTTTTTTGTTAACATTTTTTTTTTATCTTACCTTTAAAATGTCTGAAATTGGTGATTTTTTTAGCTATTAAAACAATCTATGGGCTGGAAACAAGAGAGAGATCACGTTCACAACAAGTAATCCAATGGGCTCTATGCACTACTTCCGTGTTTTAGCTACAACCCCACTTCACTTCCTGTTCGCGGGAAATGGCTTGAGTTTCACCGGAGTTCAGCAGTGGTTTCCATGAGTTTCCCAAATAATGCTCAAACGGGAATTAAACTGTGAGGATACTGGGCATTTTGGGACACAGCAGTGCTCTTTGATTGTGCTGTCATTGTGTTTTTATAAAGTTTACAAATCTCTGAATGGCCACAGTCAAAGCTCGACCTCAGAGAGAAAGCACAGACACTTTTGGGTCAGTCTCAGCTGAATGTATCAATCTAATTACTAAAAAACGTCACTAAAACCCACCTAAAAGCCATAGGACAGCCATAGACAGGAAGTGAACGGGCTGTGCTTTGTTAACAGGAAATGACGTCACGCCTCCCCGTGCATTTAGCCCATATGGCAGCGTGATTTGATGCCCACCTTTTTGAGAAAACTACCCACAATGTCGTGCGGTCGAGCCGGAAGCTCGGAACTCCTGATGCATGTATTACACGATGTCTAGCATTTAAACAGAGACTTACTGTGAGAAATGGAGCCTCGTAGTTAGCAGTTAGCATACAACGCTTCTGGAGGAGTACATCCACATCTGCTTCGAGTAGCTCCTCGTATCCCAACCAAAGCTCCGGGAAAGGATATTCCTCAGTAAGCTTTTTTATCAACAAAGTCATACAAGCAAACATATACTTTTAGGCAACTTCTTCAACTTCAAAGCTGCTAGCCACAGTCTGGACCCGTAGTTAGCCGTTAGCTCCCCATATGGAATACTCATGAACATAACACGCTCCTTTCAGACATACAGCCAAGTGTTTCCACGAGTTAGTACAACCACGGTCTGTGAGCCGTGTTAACCGCTAACCGGAAGTGGAAAACAGTACATAGCCTCAATGGCTGCGCCCATGGTTCCCCCCAGAAAACTTGTCTATAGATAAAAAAAAAGTTTAACTCCATGATACCATGCACTGGTATGAGGTATAATCGATACATAAAATAATCAATTTAAGACAACACATGTATTTTTCATAATGTAACTACAGCCACGGCACAAAAAGAAAAGACAAATTATATCTGCAGTACATTTCTTTCTAGATCTACAACGTTTTTTGGGGAATTTGAAACCTGTGTTGCCAATTGCATTAGTTTTAGCTTATTTTTTGTATTAATTGGTAAATATTTCATTATCTTTTAGAGACCGAGAGGGAGAATGAGAGAGAAAAGAGAAAGTGAGAAAGGGTGAGAATGGATGGTTATATGTATATGGAACACTTTTCTTCCCATAGACATCAGAATAATGTTGTTGTTGTTGTTTACCTGCGATTCATGAGGAATAAATAAAGATGTATCATCGATGTGATCTGGTGGCTTCATGGTATGGATTGGTCATGAAAAGTAGACAGAAATACTTGCCATATAGGACATCGAACAGAAGCTATTATAAAAACAAAGGTTATGCTTGTATACATTTATCTGTTAAAAATATTAAAATTATGTATTCTTATTGTCATGGTGTGGATTTCATTTTTGTACTTTGGTTTTACTTTGACATACGTTTTCTGTGGTTTGGTTTTATTTGTAGTTCCTGTCTGGTTCCCCTGTGTTGATTGTCTGCCCCGCCCTGATGTCTGCCCCGCCCTGATGTCTGCCACGCCCTGATGTCTGCCACGCCCTGATGTCTGCCACGCCCTGATGTCTGCCACGCCCTGATGTCTGCCCGCCCTGATGTCTGCCACGCCCTGATGTCTGCCACGCCCTGATGTCTGCCACGCCCTGATGTCTGCACGCCCTGATGTCTGCCCGCCCTGATGTCTGCCACGCCCTGATGTCTGCCCCGCCCTGATGTCTGCCCCGCCCTGATGTCTGCCCGCCCTGATGTCTGCCACGCCCTGATGTCTGCCCGCCCTGATGTCTGCCCGCCCTGATGTCTGCCACGCCCTGATGTCTGCCACGCCCTGATGTCTGCCCCGCCCTGATGTCTGCCCGCCTGATGTCGCCCGCCCTGATGTCTGCCCCGCCCTGATGTCTGCCACGCCCTGATGTCTGCCACGCCCTGATGTCTGCCACGCCCTGATGTCTGCCCCGCCCTGATGTCTGCCACGCCCTGATGTCTGCCACGCCCGCCCTGATGTCTGCCCCGCCCTGATGTCTGCCCCGCCCTGATGTCTGCCACGCCCTGATGTCTGCCCCGCCCTGATGTCTGCCACGCCCTGATGTCTGCCACGCCCTGATGTCTGCCACGCCCTGATGTCTGCCACGCCCTGATGTCTGCCACGCCCTGATGTCTGCCACGCCCTGATGTCTGCCACGCCCTGATGTCTGCCCCGCCCTGATGTCTGCCACGCCCTGATGTCTGCCACGCCCTGATGTCTGCCACGCCCTGATGTCTGCCCCGCCCTGATGTCTGCCCTGCCCTGATGTCTGCCACGCCCTGATGTCTGCCACGCCCTGATGTCTGCCCCGCCCTGATGTCTGCCACGCCCTGATGTCTGCCCCGCCCTGATGTCTGCCCTGCCCTGATGTCTGCCACGCCCTGATGTCTGCCACGCCCTGATGTCTGCCCCGCCCTGATGTCTGCCACGCCCTGATGTCTGCCCCGCCCTGATGTCTGCCCCGCCCTGATCTTCTTTATTTATATACCGCCTTTCACAGAGCTGAGTCTCAAAGCGGTTTACAATTGTTATTATTTTTGGGCACTTGTCTCTCACTCCACACAGAGATGGGAGCGGGGTCGCCGAACAGGAGGCGCATGCCAGACCTATTGTACATATTTTTAGTGGTAGGGGAAACCGGAGCACCCGGAGGAAACCTACGCAGACACGGGGAGAACATGCAAACTCCACTCAGAAAGGCCCTGGTCCGACCGGGATTCGAACCCAGGACCTTCTTGCTGAGAGGCGAGAGTGCTATCCACTCAGCCACCCGTGCCACCGTGATGTCTGCCCCGCCCTGATGTCTGCCCCGCCCTGATGTCTGCCCCGCCCTGATGTCTGCCACGCCCTGATGTCTGCCCCGCCCTGATGTCTGCCACGCCCTGATGTCTGCCACGCCCTGATGTCTGCCACGCCCTGATGTCTGCCCCGCCCTGATGTCTGCCCCGCCCTGATGTCTGCCACGCCCTGATGTCTGCCCCGCCCTGATGTCTGCCCTGCCCTGATGTCTGCCACGCCCTGATGTCTGCCCCGCCCTGATGTCTGCCCCGCCCTGATGTCTGCCCCGCCCTGATGTCTGCCACGCCCTGATGTCTGCCACGCCCTGATGTCTGCCACGCCCTGATGTCTGCCCCGCCCTGATGTCTGCCCCGCCCTGATGTCTGCCACGCCCTGATGTCTGCCACGCCCTGATGTCTGCCCGCCCTGATGTCTGCCCCGCCCTGATGTCTGCCACGCCCTGATGTCTGCCACGCCCTGATGTCTGCCCCGCCCTGATGTCTGCCCCGCCCTGATGTCTGCCCCGCCCTGATGTCTGCCCCGCCCTGATGTCTGCCACGCCCTGATGTCTGCCACGCCCTGATGTCTGCCACGCCCTGATGTCTGCCCCGCCCTGATGTCTGCCCCGCCCTGATGTCTGCCCCGCCCTGATGTCTGCCCCGCCCTGATGTCTGCCCCGCCCTGATGTCTGCCACGCCCTGATGTCTGCCACGCCCTGATGTCTGCCACGCCCTGATGTCTGCCACGCCCTGATGTCTGCCACGCCCTGATGTCTGCCACGCCCTGATGTCTGCCACGCCCTGATGTCTGCCACGCCCTGATGTCTGCCCGCCCTGATGTCTGCCCTGCCCTGATGTCTGCCACGCCCTGATGTCTGCCACGCCCTGATGTCTGCCCCGCCCTGATGTCTGCCACGCCCTGATGTCTGCCCCGCCCTGATGTCTGCCCTGCCCTGATGTCTGCCACGCCCTGATGTCTGCCACGCCCTGATGTCTGCCACGCCCTGATGTCTGCCACGCCCTGATGTCTGCCACGCCCTGATGTCTGCCACGCCCTGATGTCTGCCACGCCCTGATGTCTGCCCCGCCCTGATGTCTGCCCTGCCCTGATGTCTGCCACGCCCTGATGTCTGCCACGCCCTGATGTCTGCCCCGCCCTGATGTCTGCCACGCCCTGATGTCTGCCCCGCCCTGATGTCTGCCCTGCCCTGATGTCTGCCACGCCCTGATGTCTGCCACGCCCTGATGTCTGCCACGCCCTGATGTCTGCCCCGCCCTGATGTCTGCCACGCCCTGATGTCTGCCCCGCCCTGATGTCTGCCCCGCCCTGATCTTCTTTATTTATATACCGCCTTTCACAGAGCTGAGTCTCAAAGCGGTTTACAATTGTTATTATTTTTGGGCACTTGTCTCTCACTCCACACAGAGATGGGAGCGGGGTCGCCGAACAGGAGGCGCATGCCAGACCTATTGTACATATTTTTAGTGGTAGGGGAAACCGGAGCACCCGGAGGAAACCTACGCAGACACGGGGAGAACATGCAAACTCCACCCAGAAAGGCCCTGGTCCGACCGGGATTCGAACCCAGGACCTTCTTGCTGAGAGGCGAGAGTGCTATCCACTCAGCCACCGTGCCACCCGTGCCACCGTGATGTCTGCCCCGCCCTGATGTCTGCCCCGCCCTGATGTCTGCCCCGCCCTGATGTCTGCCACGCCCTGATGTCTGCCACGCCCTGATGTCTGCCACGCCCTGATGTCTGCCCCGCCCTGATGTCTGCCCCGCCCTGATGTCTGCCACGCCCTGATGTCTGCCCCGCCCTGATGTCTGCCCCGCCCTGATGTCTGCCCCGCCCTGATGTCTGCCCCGCCCTGATGTCTGCCCCGCCCTGATGTCTGCCCCGCCCTGATGTCTGCCCCGCCCTGATGTCTGCCACGCCCTGATGTCTGCCACGCCCTGATGTCTGCCCCGCCCTGATGTCTGCCACGCCCTGATGTCTTTCACCTGTGTCTGTGTCCATATGTACCTGTGCTCCTCTCCTCTTGTTGCTGGTTCGTTGTATTGTCTTGTTTGTTCACATCTCGGTTCCTGGTTCCGGTTTGGATTTTGAATTTGTTTTATTACCTTTGAATTTTTGTTTTCTCATCATTAAATCATTTATATTTTTCCATTCATGCATGTTCAGTCCTCCATCATCTCACTACATGACACTTATTCTTTTTAACCTTGTTTATTAAATAATCTTTTTCAGTGTTGGATATTGCAAGTATACTGTATGTTCTTGAATCATAAAATGGAATGCATTTAGTGTTAATATGATTAATATATGTTATAGTTTGACCATGTTTACATTGATATAAGTAAAATAGGGCACTCTCAAACCAAACCTGTGTGTGTAATAAAACACACACACCTGCCACACCTGTTACCTGCCTAAGACTGACAATACAATTTTAATTGAAAAAGTAAAATTGTATATTTTAAATGTCAGTTGCAATCTATCATTTGTCATTACTCATGAACCGCAAATTATAAACCCTTTTTTAAAATAAATATTAAAAATAAATTCATAACTATGCAATTGAAAAAAATATACATACAATAATAACATCAGGTACATCCTCAATCTTATTTACTCCTTTTTTCAGTTGCTTTAGAAAGGGAAAAGACTCTTTTTACAATTAAATATCTCTACTTGTACTGGCAGGTTATGGCACTTATGCTTTACATTTATGCATTTGTCATCCCACAAATGTTATTCTCAAAGTGCATTTAATTTACAAAACATAAAAACTTTTTCAAAGTAAATCGTATTGAACAACTACTGAATGAAAGGCTGCACCATGAGCTTGGAACCACCAACTTAACATTTATACAACTTCAGTAATAACGTTAAAAAAAAAGTAAAAAAGAAAGTACCACAGTGTGGCTGTCTTTAAAAGACTGAGGAGTTTCTGTGAAACTTGTAAATGGGCGAACATAAATCCCTTTGCAAGAGTGTGATTTCTTTTTCCACTTTTCAAAGTCCACTTTAAATCTCTGAAACAAAGTATCACATTATTGTTTCCCTTTATCGTCATATACAATCGTTGGACTACTATTACATTTGTGTCAATTAAAAAAGATGTGGTTACTTTCTTTGAAATGACTTGATTTGGAAAGTCTCTCAGGAGAGGATCATGCATTGTCTTGTAGCGTTGTACAAAGTCGTCAAGACGTGTAAACCGCCTTCGCTGTAATCTGAAGTGTTTGAGGTCCCACTGTGATTTCTTTATTCCCTGGGTCCTGTTTTGAGTATAGTTCTGCAAAACAAACAAAAAAAAGGTAGCAATGACACAAAAATGAACTTAGGCATTTTTTAAAAATATAACAACTTACCTGAGTATGTAATATGCTGATTGGAAATTAATTCAGGGCATGGTAAACATTTTCTTCTCTGTCCAGATCAAGCTTTGCATCATCAATAATGTCTTTGAAATGTTTGTGAAGGGGTGTGTCACAAAGATCATTCTGAAGACCAAAATGACAAATAAGAAATGCTAAAAAGGTAAAGTAAGTCCTTCAACACCTTTTGTCAATAACATAATGAACAACAAAAGGCTCAGGTCTTTAAAAAAAAAATATATATCCACTGTCCTTATCATGCTTTTATGCCTCCACCATTAACAATGCGGTCAAAGTAGCATCATCTTGTCCAAACATGAATCAGATTGATAGCTTTTATTACAGACTCGTAGTCCAGAACACAAAAAAATAACAAGATACAACACACTAAAAACAGACAACATAAAACAATTAAAAGTCCCCAAATCTCTTTAGAGGAGGCATCTACACCAGTGTTTCCACAGAGCAGAGGTAAAACGAACATCACTGTATGCTCTACTCGTCAACACTAAAATCATCATATTTGCACTATTGTCCAGGCGACACATAAACTTGAACATTAGGTTCCTCAAGTTGGCCTGCAGTGAGTTTACTCGAAAGGACACAAAAAGTTCAGAAGCGCTGCTCCATCTGGGCCTTTTTAGCAACAGTCTGAAGGCATCGTTGTAGGCCACTTTCAGTCTCTGTAGGCTGGATTTTTTATAGTTCACCCACAGATGAGCGCTGTAAAGCGGGGAGCAGTATGCCCGAAACAAAGCCACTTTTACTGCATTAGAACAGTGTCCAAATTTACGCAACTAAATATTAGCCTGGGCCTACAGCATACGGCACTGTCGATACATATCCTCATCGTCTGACAGACGATCTGTCAGGATATGACCAAGATATTTCACCGTGCTTTCAGTTTTTAGGATGTTTCCAGATAGCTTAAAGTCAGGAAACACCAGGGCTTGGTCCTCTTTGGTTCGACAGGTCATTATGACACTTTTCCTTTCATTATATTTGATATTGTTTTGTTCACCGTACGCCGAACACACATCAAGCAGCTGCTGGAGACCAGCTGAACTCGGACATCAGCATACATCAAGTGGTTAACGATACTATCTCCAGCAACACACCCAGTTCAATTCTTTAGAAAAGTCATTCATATAAAAATTAAATAAAATTGGAGACAGCAAACTCCCTTGTCTCACACCATTGCTGACCTGAAATGGTGCAGATACACAGTTGTCCCATTTGACCTCCAGAGTCTGATGGGCACACCAGTAAGACAGGCAACGAACTACATATTTAGGAACATTGGCTTGACACAGTTTGGGAAACAATTTGGCATGGTTAACACGGTCAAAAGCCTTGGAGGCATCTAAAAAACACATAAAAACAGTGGATTGTCTACTTTTATATTTACTTATTATACGGCTCCTCACAGCAGCAGTAGAATGCTCCATTGATTTGAATGTAATTTCAAAACGTTCTACCGGTCATTATTTTCTATAACTGACCTCTCAAAACAATAATGACCGCTGCCCTTTGGCAACGCACTCTCTGCTTGTCTTTCAAATGCGTGGATAACTCCGCAAGTAGTTCCGGCCACTCCGGAGCTAGCCACGCTCAATCAACACACTTAAATGTTAATCGGAGAATACTTATACATATACATTCTTCACACACGTGCACGGAAATTTTCAGAATTTTCTGGTCTTGTCTTCATGACAAAAATACTATTTCTCTGCGTCAAAAAGCGATCGTGAAAAACCCGGAAGTAGTTCTGGCCGCTCAATAAACGCAAATGCCAATCAATCAACGCAATGAAATGTTTATCGGAGAGTGAATTATACATATCCAGTCTTAATACAAGTGCACGGAAGTTTTCAGAATTTTCCGTTTACGTTTTCATGACAAAAACACTGATGTAATGCGAGAAAAGGCGATCCCGAAAAACCCGGAAGTAGATACCGGCACATTTTAAGATACCGGCACATTTTCGGACACATTTGCAGAGGATCAAATTATGGATTTAGGTTAGGTTTATGTTTGGGTCACTCACCGCTGATGTTCAGAATTCTTTGTTCAGTTTTCATGCAGTTCCAGAGAGTTCTAGTTTGGAAGTTGCCAGCCTAACTGTTGCCCGCGGTTGCCGAGCAACGGGAAAACTTTTTGGGACTACTTTATTTGTTGTCATTAAATAAACTTTTGGCATTCATAAAAGTGATCTGAAGTTTATTTTGTGTGTTAAGTTGGTACAAAGCAGTATAATAAGCGGGATAATGTATAGCCTACAGGTCATTATCGGAAAATAAGTACCGACAGGGCGAAGCGGACCCCGACGCGCAGCGGAGGGGTCTGCTTCTGCCCTGAAATGACCTGTAGGCTATACATTATCCCTTACTTAACAATTCTTTTAAAGCATAAATACACATGTCAGTACCATGATGGGCTTTGAAGCCAAATTGATTGTCCGTGGAGCCAATGTGAACACTGAGCCTGCTCACAAGGATTTGCTCAAATTAATTGATTTTATATTGTGATTGTCATAATCTTAATCATTCACATTGATTCATTGCTGATAATCTTTAATTACTATTACCTTATAGTCCTCCACAAGGACCACAGTGTCAGCTACAGCAGGCGACTGCTTCGTAAGTTCCTGCAGGTTCAGTTGGTGTTTCTGCACACGCCCTCCATTGCATGGTGACGAGAAAACAATAGTGGCACTTAAAATCAATTCTTCCATTTCGGGAAGAGTGTGGCAGGATGCGAGGAGTCCAAATGTGTGCATGGCAAACTTAAAATGCTTTGGTATCCTGCAAATCAAAAGTAACATGTTACCTGTTTTCTATCGTTTGCAGTAAAATCAAAATTTAATATCATTATTGTGTTGAAGATACTTGCGTTTTTCTGCACAGGTCTTTGGCGTTTTTCATAATGTGATTGGAAAATCTAACTTTTTGAGGAGAACTGGCCCGTAACAACCTTGTAGTACAGCGTCTGGAGATGCTGGATTGACATTTTGCTAAAGGTGAAAGAAATCGATTGCAGCAGCACCACTGACCCGTCACAAATGAACATTACAGGTCTTTTCAATAACTGTTTCCCAAAAATGCGGTAAGCATCAGTCATAAAAGCTGGCAAAAAATCCTTGACAAGGATTTTGAACAACCAGTTCGTATATGTAAAATGTCTTTGTGCTGTTCCTTTGTAAAATGCTCCCTGTGGCATCCAGGTACACAATGTCATTTTGGCATATATCATTAAACACAGATGTTGTTCTGTTGGACCAGAGCATTACTCTTTTAGAATATAGTATTGCTCTTTGGAGCACATCGCTGTCATCGCCAGTTTGACTTTCAATTATTTGGAGTATACTTTCCATTCCATTGGCATGTGGGCAATTTCATTTTTTTCCTGAAAAATATATATTTTTCAGGACTTTTGAACCGGGAGCTTCATCCCTGCGTCCCGGATCAAATATATTGTTCAACATGGCTTCTAATTTTCCAAGTAGAATGCTCTGGGAAGTTGAGTCTTTAATTCTTCGGCTATCTCTTTTTGTGCTGTTCTCCTAATAGGTCTGCTTTTAAGCTCTTCCTTACTATGGCATAATTGTCCATCCAGTTTGACGTGTGCCTTTAGAGT